ATGATGGCACTCTGGGTAGCGTACATGCGTGTTTTCCATAACGATGGGAGTTCAATTCCCCCAATGAACATCACTCTCATTTTTAAAAAACCCCACGAAACAGTCTTTTTTTCTTTAAATACTTAAGAAACAAGGTTCCAGAAAAACAACCACGCAAATCGAACCCAGGACGTCTTTTAAAGGGGCATTCCAACATTAGCCAACGTAACCGGCATGCTTTTTTGTATCTTATGCAAAAGAGTGAGAGGTTGTATTATATATTAAACACATTTTGTTTTTATTTTTATTTATTTTTAACTTGGACTGGACTCGGGCGAGTCGGACTCACCCGAGCAACTCACCTCGGCCAAGACCAGAGTACCTTGGCCAAGTCGATTTTATTTATATTGGGTTATACAATCTAAATATTTACAAAACATCAATTTAATATGATGTTCATGCACTAAGCTTTTCAAACTGAATTCTATATTGGGCCAAACTGAGAAATATTCAAAATATATTTCAAGTTTTCGACTACAAACATGTAAAAATATCACAAAAGAAAAATAATAATAGAACATCAAATCATAACATATTATACAAAACAATTACCAAACCTCAATTCAAATATTGTAATGCACTAACCTTTTCAAAATGAAACTCATATTGGCCCACACCGGCGATCTATGGTCGCCAAAAGTCCTCTTATGAAACTAACCCAAGCTCCAAAAGTATCAGGAACTATATCTTTTGATTACGCAAGAAATCAAAAAATCTTGCAATTTTTTTCGATCTTGATAAAAATCTCAAAATCTAATTTTTTTTAGAGTTTTTCTCTCTACAATACACATAAGGGTCTTAAGGGGACTAGAATGCTCCCCAAAACCCTTTTCCCCCATTTAGGAGGGGAAACCCCAAAACATCCCTGGCCGAGGGCGGGCAATAGACCCTCAGCTAGCCTGAGTCGAGTGCAGCCTAGGCGGTTGCCTAAACACCCGATGCCTAGAAAACCCGCCTAGTGGGCATCTTGGCATGCAGCTGAATTTTTGAACAATGATGACAACTTTACCCCCTTGTTAACTAAATAATAACCTCCCCTCTACAAAATAATAAAAATAAACAAAATACAAAACTCTAAACTCAAAATCCAAAGGAAATCCAAAGACTGATCTAGCTCTAGCATCAGTTGGGTCACAAAATGTTCAAGTCCCATAAGTACATAAAGGATAGTCGTAGATCTTCTTCTACAATTGGCTACTTCAAGGAAGAAGGATGTATCCGGATCCCCTTCTTTGACCACTTAATTCCAGAATGTTGATACTAACATAACTCTCCCTATTTTGCCACCTTGCTTAACTCAACTTCAACCTTCACGAGACCTTTCTATGAGGGAAAGGGCTCTAAATTCCTCAGTCAGATCCAAATCTGAAATTACATGAAGAAGCGCCTCCTTAATTGCTCATAGACTGCTGAATAAGTGATAGCTCCATTGCTTGGTGTACCTTTTAACAAATGCAGTTTTTTGGGAGATTCTGAAGCCATCCCATCCTGCTACCAAGAAGGATGGGCACCACAGAGGAATCAGGATGAAGCTCTGGCTCTTCGAATCACATGAATTTGAACCGAAATGGTTTGGGCACTCGAGGGAACTGACTCCATGTCCAAAAAACCCAGGAGAGTAATTAAAAGTAGTCGAATTCTTGAATGAACCCTAGAGAGAAGATTTTCCCAATCCAGGGAAATGAGAAATTTATCTATCTTGGTGAGGATGAGTTTTGCAGCATGATTGGACCAGATAAATGAGAAGCCAACTAAGGGAAGGCCTACGAGGTCATGCTCGAAGATGAAATCAGAGAAACCCACACACACACACACGTGGAACAAAAAAAAACAAACACACACACACAACAAAAAAAGGAAAGGAAAATCTTTAAAGCTCCATCCGGTGACTTTGAAGTTACCCCCTGTGCACCAAAGGCTAGGGGCCCTAGATTCCACTATATCTAATTATGCATGAAATATCTTATGCAAACGCTGACCGGTTTGGACCACAAAACACGGTAAACTTCCGCTCCAGAGTCCAAAATATGCCAAAATCATATGGTAATCAAGAAGGGCCCATCGTAGGTACATAATTTGGTCAAGGAGGAAGGGTCTCAGATTAACCATAGTCCAGCTGAGCACCCCTTAGGCTGGGTAGCTTCCCATTGGCCTGGAGTCCTGCCTCAAACCCGCTAGGACTTGGGCAAGGTTGGGGATCCAATCTTCATATCTAATAATGACAAAACACCCAGACAATGCCTTTGGGAAAGATTGAGGCATGTCGGCTTCTTATAGGGTCTCCTAGACCCCTGAAGTTCCAAATTAACACCCTCTTTTGGAGGGACGCTGGTGGAAGATGTGCCTAGGTGGCTCGTCTAGGGTGGAGGAGCTAGGATCAGAGGGCCCAATTGAGGCCTTTGATTTCTCGTAAGAAATGTTGCAAGAGGTTCTTGTGCTCTCAATGGCTCCTAATTATCCTTACCGTGTTCCTCTCAAAGGTGTCGCTTGGCTGGCATCCCTTTGTTTCCTTTGGTAATTTACCAAATCTGAGTTTACATGAAGATGTAAGCAAATGATGGTGCTCAGCCCTAGTTCTACAAAGAAAAGCTATCTACCTCAATTCCCAAACAGTGAAATTAACCTGCTTAGAAGTTGCGAGCAAAATTAACTTTGAAAGTATATGTCTGAAAAATAGTCTTCATGTTCTTTCCTATGATTCTATTTTTTCTATAGCATACTATTCAGAGTGGTCCATTTGTTTATATTAAAACAGCATACATGTAGGTGTAAACACAAAAACACAGAGAGAAAATAGAAATAAATGCTACTAAAAAAATGAAATGACACTAAAAGAGTAAACACAGGAGGATGTCCAAAGTGAAAAAGCATACAGTCTGCAACTTCTTTTATATTCTATAAGATAGTAAAAACGAAAAAGGAAATGGGTAAGAAAATAAAACAAGATCAAGATTCAAGAAACATCAAGAAGTCAAGCAAAATGAACGAAATTGTACTAAATAGCATAGCTTAGATTCTTTAGAACAAAACAGAATAAAAAACTATCCAAATAGAAAAATTCTAACCAAACGCCTGCCTCTCTCTCTCTCTC